GCTTATTTATATAAGTTTAGTACTATTTGAACTGGAGTGATGGAATTCATTGAAAAGAAAGTGCTGAGAAAGGATGGTTATTGATAAATTTAATTTCTGTCCTTGCTTGGATTTGGACCAACAAACTTCGGATTTGTACTACCGATACTCTACCAGCTGAGCTACAAGGTTAGACTGGTAGCAAGTCCAGGAGAAATAGATTTTAGGTCCCGGTAATTGAACTGTAAAGATATGACATAAGATGCGATGTAAACCGCATAGCACTATGAAATCCATGAAGTAGAAGAAGCGGTGTAGTACTGAGAAAGGAGGCTATTGTAGTTATTTCCCAGCACTATATCTTTCACGATTTCCCAGATAATATATGCCTTTTTCCCATTCAAAGCGAGCAACCGCTGCTTAAGTTGACAAAAGTCTCTCATGTGCAGAGACCTTACCAAAAACAAAAGAAATGTTGTCATAGGCCTTTTCTGAGATAGCAGTTTGCATTGCATTGTGGTCTAGATTCGGTACAAACATCTTTTGTTTATGCTGCCAAATATGGCATTGTTTGTACTGAAGCAAGACCACAATGCACCATGATTATGTATTTCAGAAAAGGTCTATTACACAATAGCCCCACAAATTTGCATTTTCTCCGATATTTCCAGAAGGTTCAAATTCTTGCCCAGGCAAGGCTTCAAATTGGAGAAGATTCAGCTATTGTAATGTCATCATTTTTTCATGCTTTCTTTTGTTCTCTAGGCGAGTGAGTCTCCTGTGTACTGAAACAGCATGAACGGAAAAAAGGCTTATTAAAGGTCTGCCCAATGCCCTTGTAAACTACTCTTGACAGCTCAAAACAAACAAAACAAATTTTAAACTGTTTAATTTTATCGTTTCACCTATACTATAATTATACAAACGAGAAGTCCACAGGACACATTGTTTTGGAGCTAGAAAATATTATTAGTCTAGTAGTTTATTGCTACATAAAAATTCACATATGAATTTCTAATTTTGTCAGAAATGACCCTCATAGCATTCACTAGTCTTCACTGTCTATTTGAATACTTTTTCGTTCTTTTTCATTGGGKTCCCTGTGTTCGAGAAAAGCACAGGGAGCCCATAACTGGTAAGGCAGTTACTCAGAAGAAAAGGTTYAGTGCATTTTTGTCTACTTTGAACTATAAACACTAACTAGAAATATATATTCACAGGAAATAATTGTTGATTAGATTTGATCCAGCTTCTTGTTACATCATTGTTTTCAAAAATAATGAAAACATGTCTATTTTCAGAATGAATGGTGCAAGATTGCGTGACACAAGAAAAGACACATGACACTGTTAAAACTCACTTGGACAATATTGCCATTTACCACAGGGAACCCAAACGCAATCACTATCCTTATCACTATAGATTAGATTCAGAGAAATCGAGAAATAGTACAAAATAGTACTTGGAAAAAAGTCTCAGCAGTAAGCACAAGTATAGAACAACAATTTGAAGTGCTTTCTTTCTTCTTTAATGTCTTACATATCTTATAAAGTCAGAATTCATATAAAATTTCGAGGTTGGGCTGCCTGTGGTGATAACATGACTTTATGTACTTATAAGGCATTATATTTTGATAACTGTTACCAACCTATATCATTGTGTGTTTACCRATCAGGTTACTATACTAGATACCTACAATATCACCCAATATCCCCCTGATTATCATATGATAGAATACTAAAAAAATAAATATGTTGACAGCCGGAAACTCGTAAGGGAAAAAAGATGTTTAACACCAAAAYCATGCGCAGGAATATCAAGATATTACATGAAAATTAGCAGTTTTTATACTTTATATTTAGTTTTCAAAGATTGACTTGCAAGAATCTGATTGTCAAAATGTAATAGTTAACTAGATGAGAAATTTATAATGTTAAAATCAATATTTTCTTCCCTTGTGAGTTTCTGCAACAGATCTACTAAACTCATCTCATATTGTTGTAGTATATTTAGATCTTCTACTGATAAACCACTTTTCAGCTCTGGATTTCAGAGATTCAGAGAGATGATTGAGGTTAGTGTAGTATTTCAGCACATAAAAGTCATTTGGTCTTCAATGAGTCGATTTGCTTTGGTTRCTCATAGGATTACGCACTTCTTTTTCTGTTTTGGTCGCTTGGGTGGTCCTCGTTTCTCTTTCTGTTGAYATGACAATAGAGAAAAACAGAATTTAACAAAGCAAATGACTACCATCTTGTTGTATTCTTCTAGCTCTTTTAATAACTTTTGAATTAGTTTTGACAGTACAAAACAAACTAGCAAAAYGACTATGAACTAGACCACATGTATGGGGTGCCCTTGGTATAATAGGGCTCCTGAGGTAGGCAGGGTGRTCCATATTACAACACATCTGTCTACTGGATATGTAATTATCTGCAAACAGCTATTACTAAAAAAAAATGCTGGGGATATTCCTATATATCAAAGGGGAGGGATGCTTGTGGTATCTTTTAGGGGTAAAAATCAAGGATCTGGTATGTTCTAGGGTATTTCAAAGATCTAAATTGGTATCTTAAAGGGTGCCTGTGGATATGAGTCTAATAATGACAACACACTGCTAAGCCTTTCAAGCAGACTGTATTTGAAGCTCATTTCTCTAAATCAATTGAAAATACTAATAAAAATAGACTTACATCTTTCCTTATTTCCCTAACAAGTGTGTAAAAAGCGTCRTCAACTCCTTGTCTTGTCTTTGCTGACGTCTCTTGGAAAGGGATACCGTAACTTTTTGCAAGTTCTTGTGCGTCGGCTGTACTGACGGTTCGTTGTGGGAGATCGCATTTGTTACCTACCACTGTAAAGCCACAAAATTATTGMAGAAATATCAACAAYGTGTTGAGTATGTACACAATAACAATTAAGTTACATTTTAAGTGTAATGYGGGRTATCGAATGGTAAAATCCGAGCCTTGCCGAACCTCATTTTAAAATCAGAGCCCRAGCCTTTTGATGAATGAGTCCGATATTTTGGCAATTGCGACCTTCCGAGCCAAAAGCGATTTTAAATCTCAGCCCATTTCTTTTAAGCGCTGAGCTTGTGAGCCTTGGGAAATTTTTAGCAAGTCTTGGGATTTGTGAGACACCATTTTATACCCCTTAATGTCTTTCAATCTCAATTTTTGTCATTACTTTTTGACAAATGTTTATATTTGACAATGTTCTTGGTGTATATAATTATGTTTTTTAAGCGCCTTGGATTATTTGGATATGAGTACTATATAATATACAAATTATTATTTTTATACTTACAAACCATGGGAACTTCCTCTGCATCTTTCACTCTTTTAATCTGTCAGACCAAAAAAATCTATCAGCCCTGNAACGTATTGCCATACATCGGGTGACATGTGCTTAGATTAGATCTTTTGATATGTTATGAATGAAGAGGCTGAAAGAGCACAGATACGGCATTTTTTTTAAAGAATATATAGGTTTATCGAGGAGGAGGTACTCGACCCCGTTTTGGATAGGTACGTGCCGCCAGCGGTCTAAATCCCTGACCCTGTTTAAGACGCTACAAAGTGAAATCCATACCCTGCTCAAGACAAAACTGCAATTATACTGACATCCATCAAAGACAATAAGAAGTTTTTGATAACACGTTAATCCTGCTACAGTGAAACGGTATTTCTACTATTTCTACATTATTTCTTATGAAAATGTTACCCTGTCCAAGACACACACAAAAATTATATCGATCTTTTATCTAAAGAAATGACAATTTCGGGCGAAATGTATACCCTGTTTAAGACAGCAAGTCCAAAAGCCATACCCTGGTCAGTGGCACGTCCCCGTATAGCAAATATATGGGAGTACCCCCCCGGACCTTTTGTCACCCTTAAGTTTGATATGTTATATACGGCTTCAAGAGTTAATGTAACCACTGTAACCATATCTATATCGGGTTATCATGATCAAAAAAGTTCCAATACGACTAAAAGTTCCGTACGACTTCCATACACGGATGTCCATATGCATGGCTCTCATGAACATATAGAAGGCTGCCATGTCCCCATAGAAGGGTCATTATTTATGGCCGAAGGGGACTCCGGGGTAAAAGTACCGGGGATGCTCGATGGAAATTTTCAAAAAGACCCCTAGAAGATCCCGGAAGTATTGAAAAAAGGGCGTGTCTGACTGATTTTTAATCCCTAAGAGATTGCACAACAAATATTGTTAAATTAAATCAGTTCCAATGAAAAAATGTATAAACAAAACGCAGAGGTAAATCAATATCGATGCACCCCTTATCTTCCTTTCCGACAAGGCTAAGAGATTGCAGAAAATGCACATTTCCAGAAACTCCAAATTGGAACCCGAAAAGATTCCCAATCACGACTTTTTACCCCTAAGAGATCCGACAAGCATCTCCGGTACTTTTACCAAGGAGTCCCCCCCCCTCCCTCCGGGTATTTATGTCTTCAATCTTATGTACCTACAAGTGCCAGTTATTCAGGGTTCACTTAAGCAAATTGATCTCATGGATTAATGGTTAGGTTCAAGGAAAATATAGGGTTAATCAAATGGTGGGAACTAGCGGTAAACTAGTGTGAGCTGCGTCGGTGTTTCTAAAGAAACAGTTATGTAAAAAGATAAATTTAACACCGTAAAAAAAGTATGTGAAATAACTTACTGACGTTTCGGACGTTAATCCTTCGTCGGAGTAAAAGTGACGAAGGATTAACGTCCGAAACGTCAGTAAGTTATTTCACATACTTTTTTTACGGTGTTAAATTTATCTTTTTACATAACTGTAGGGTTAATCAATGAATAGCGCTGGTTCTTCACGTTAGAGGGACATGAGAGCCTTCTATGTGTACATCAGCGACGTGCAAGTGCACGTACAACCTTATACGGAAGTCGTACGACAATACATTCTCCAAGGTTATTATGAGAGATGACAACATACCAAAACATGATTTACCATCTCCTGTGTAACCTGGCTTACAATGACACGAATATGAGCCCACGGTATTGTGGCATGTTCCTTGCGCATGACAGGTGTGAGCACCGGTTGCGCATTCATCGATGTCTGTAAAATAGATAAAATACACGTAAATATTATGTATTAATATTATACAGCCTTTTGCAAAAATTATGAGAATTGTTGAAATATCTAAATATCATAATATCAAGTGCATGATGGGTAATCCCGCTCGATGCCCTTAGTCCCTTGTCTTTGTAGTTTAGGGGTTTTTTTGGCGACAGACTTATCCGTAGTTCTGAACATTTTCTCGATGTCAACAATGAATTCTTTAGCAAACCCGCGTGTTCCGGACAATATATGGATATGGATATTATGATATTTAGATATTTAGACAATTCTCATAATTTTTGCAAAAGGCTGTATCAAGCTTCTATTATACGAATGATATATATGCAAAACAATAAGAACTCTATCCCCCTGTTAGCAATTAAGAACCTAAGAACCTGTTTTGCCAAAATTACCAACAACTACCCCTTAAAACAAGAACCTTATTTGCCAGACTTTCAAAAAATAAAGTTCTTATTTTCAGGTGTTTACTGTACTCTTAATCTCTTCTCCGCTAACCGTTGCATTGCTTCCTATCGCCTTGAAAACCAAGCTTGCACATGCAGTTGTATTTCCCAGGTATGTTTATACACGTGGCGTTCACGTGACAGGCGCCAGATGACGCACACTCATCGATGTCGATTTGACAGGCTTGACCCGTGAATCCCGCGGGACATAGACAACTGTACGGGTCTCGATCCCATGGCATGTGTGGAACACAAGTTGCATTCTTGACACATGGTGAGCTTGAGCACGTACTCTGGAAAGATATCAAATTTTATGTTCTAAAAGCTCTGATAATGTTCTCATTAAAAAACTTAATAAACAAATCAGATGAT